ACCGCTTAATAAAAGCAATCCTTATAATTACAAGCACAGAGCCATAAAACATTTTAAAGCAGCCTACTTCAGTATGAAACTATATTATCTGAGAAAATAGGAATCATTTCACACCAGCGTCAAACATACAGTGAATCTGTTTGTGAGGTGAATCACTGAAAGTCATTCTTCTTCGTCGTGGAAGACTGTGATGTGATACTTTAGTGTGGTATTATCGTACTGTATGAGGTGCTGATGTCAGCCTGGAAACAGCATGATTTAAGTCCCTTACTGGTTCATATCTTCATTTGTGTAAGAACAGGAAACTCACAAAATATTGTGAATGTGCAAAGGTTTTAGCAAAAACACACACTTGGTAACGTATCCAGAAACAGAAAAATGGACACGTGACTTGTGCCTTCAAGTGTGGTAATTGTAGAGAAAAGAAAAGATAAAATAAGGAGACAATTCTCGAGACTGCACTTTCCATCAATCACAAATCAAAACCCACCTTTACAGAACTGCTTTTAATGTGTGACGAATGTGTGTTCTATGTTTTTAGTGTTTAGCTTTTTTATGGTGATTTTAATGTTTGTAAAGTGCCATATAAATAAAATGTATTATTATTATTAAAATTGTATTAAGATCACCACAGCCCCAACACAACTCTTCATTCGTTGTTCTGAGCTTTCCATTGTCCCACTCTAAATATCATGAGTTTTTTCTTCCTGAGAATTTCATGGAGTAAAGAACAGCTTCCCGTTTCCCTTTCGCTCCAACATATCTGGAATCTTGGGAGACAAACACAAGGAGAAAAAATAAAAACAGGAGCCAGACTAACAGTAATGAGTTTTCCTGCATCGTACCTGTTGATGTTAATGAACTGATCTGCTTACCTTCCTTCCACATGCTCTACCGGCCACCATACAGGTGGATCTTAGCGAACGAGACGGTCTCACAATAGTTCTTGTGGCCCTTCTCGTAGATGACAAAGATGAACTTCCGGTCCTCCGGAGAGCCGCTGTTCAGTGATGTCATGCAGGAGTAGCCGCTGGGACCCGCCCATATCTGCGCAGCTTTTTTCACCCAAGAGTTACCATCAGTCAGCGACCAGCGTAAGGTCATGTTAACTCCTGAGGGGGATGAGGCAAGGCGTTAGTATGATGTAATAATGATATTGATCTTTTTCTTTACAAGGACCTGAAGTAAACTGATTGTTTTGGCGTGCAGGAAAGCAGCAGCAGTGGTGGAAAGTAATTTAGTAAATTTCCTACGGTACTTCAGGTACTTTGAGGTTGAGTATTTCCTTTCTAATTTACTATGTACTTCCACTCCACTTTATTTCAGAGGCAAATATTGTATTTTAACTTCATTACATTTATTTGATAGCAATAGTTACAAGTTACTTTACATATTCATCATAAAAAAACAAATGATTAAGTCACGATATATCATGCGTTGTTATATATTACAGAACCAAACAGCATATAAAAACTAGAACTAGTGCTTTATGGTTGAATGCCTCTGCCAACATCTCAAGTCGCTGTTTAAAACCATGTCTGTCCAAAATGTCATCGCTTCATCCTACATTGGTGTGAAATTGTCGTATTGTAACAGAGCATGTTAACAGAATGACCTCGCTACTTTAACTTCCACCACTGAGCCCCAGTGACACAGGTTAGGCAGGAAGAAGAAGAGAGTATGACTGTTAGTGTCAGCGGCTCTTACTGCTGTGCTCATTGGAGGGGTTGGTGAAGTAGAGCACTCCCTCTTTCACCAGAGCTCCGGCTGATACTGCAGAATCCACAAGCTCGTAGTCAAAGAACGTATTTTCAACGGGCAGGGTCAATCCGCCGTCAAGGCTGCGTACCACTATGCGACACCTACAGTGGTAGCTGTTCTGGTTCCGCACGTTGATGACGATGCTGCCGTCCGTCATCTCCACCGGCTGCAGGGGAGCAGAGAGGGTTACACTTGACAGTGATGAAATGCTCTGTTATTAAAAGATTCATTGACAGGTATTTGATTAATTATGACAACTTGTTATCGATGCAGTGAAGACATCACACAATGGTTAAGATAACTGCCAAGTGTTTTAAAGAATACAGTTCACAGCTGTGTTCCTTTTGGCCACTAGAGGGCAGAAGAACTCCACAGCAAGCTGACTGATAAACGGAGCTATTAAAAGTTGTTCACATGACACACATGCAGCAGAAACAATGCAACATTAGCACTTAGAGTCATATTCCTGCAAAATTTAAGTCTGATCCTCTCCATCTTCTTTTAGCTTTGTTTGTTTTTTGCCTCCAACTCCTCTTTTAACTGCGTAAAATTTGACTTTCTTCAACAACTAGATGCTAGCTTTGTCTGCTGTTTGGTGCTGGAGAAGCATAGGTTGATCATATGATTGTATATTTAAAAAATGTCTCACGAAAACTGGGTTGATAAGAGCATTTAGGCTGAACCATAGGGGTTAGACAGTTAGCTGTCAAAGTAGACCAGCATGGCACGATCCACAAGCAGCAGGCGTACCTGGCACTCGTCGGGGTCAAAGTCCTGTGCCCTCTTCTGCTGGTTGTAAGGGATGCTTTTCAGCACGCCGCCGTTGTACCAGTTCTGTCCGTGGTCGTCACTCAGGATGCAGAAAACTCCGTTTGCCGCCAATGTCCCATGACCACACACCACCAACCTCCCCTTAGCTGGGTTGTAGCGCTTCTGTAGTGCAAAGACACAAAAAAATGTGGACTCAGCAAACAACAAACAAAGGTGCTGACTTGATTCTTAAATACAAAATACATATAACTCTGAAAATGATTTCAGATAACTTTTTACTGGTTCTCAGAGGGGAAATTCAGGGAAATTACAAGGTTAGAGTGACACACTGTCAGACAGATACAGTATATGGAAACAGCGTACTCTAGAGTAATACACATGATTAAATAATGACTCTTAGTGTTTTTCTGTATCAATATAGAAATGTAATATAGTGTATGATGAAAGAGAACAGCATAACATGAACATAATATAGTATGGGATCTAAAAATAAAAACACAGGGTTACTTCACATGATCAAAATTAAAGAAAAAAAAGAAATTGCTAAAGCCAGGCCGTGCCTCCTGTTTTCCCGTTTCCTGTGTGTGTGTGTGTGTGTGTGTGTGTGTGTGTATGTATGTGTGTGTGTGTGTGTGTGTATGTATGTGTGTGTGTGGTATGGGCGTGTCTCCAACCTGGTCTCCTCCCGGCTCCCTCCTGATTGAGATTCATTCACCTTACCTGCCCAAGTCAACCCAGCTGCCTTCCATCAACTACTCAACAGTTTATCTACCCGGGTTTCACATCCACTCTTCACCAGATCGTTGTTACAACCTCCGTGGTATCTTGTTTGTTCTCAGCCGCTCAGTATTATTAGATTCTCAGTTTATCCAACTGTTTTCTGTTGTATGTACCTTGTCTTTCTGTGCCTGCAGTTTGGATCATCCTCCCGGCTCCCCAGTCTGCCTGCCCTGCCTTGTTCTGCCCGGTTTCCTACCCTCGCCCTCTCGTCCTTGGTTCCCCGCTGCTCCATTACATTTTTCCCTTTGTGTCCTCCCGGAATAAAACCCTGATACACTCTCTTACTCCCTGGTCTGTGTCTGCGTTTGGGTTCCACCACCACTCCCCGTGACAGAAATAATGGATATTGGCTCTAGAAAAAGATGATACATCATTCTTAAAATATGTTCAAAGTAATGTATAATGCTACAAAGACATCAATATATTGTGAAACAAACAGTGGTGTATAAAGTACCCAAAAGCCATACTTGAGTAAAAGTAAAGATACCTTACTGGAAAATTACTCCAGTAAAAGTAAAAGTCACCTATTAGAATACTACTTGAGTAAAAGTCTTAAAGTATCTGATATTTATTGTACTTAAGTATCAAAAGTAATTTTCTGATATTAAATGTACTTAAGTATTGAAAGTAAAAGTACAAGTAAATGCTGTTAATAAAAAAGCAAAGGGTCAGAATTTTGAGAATTATGAAGTTTATTCTTTTCAGTGCTGTGGCACCATGACCAAGGACATGGAGCTGTGTTGAAAATAATTGGGTTGGCTGTGATCCATCCAGGAGCAACAATGTTCAACATAATATATTGTACATAAGTATACTTTTGCATCTACTATGAACTTATCATCATAATTCTCCGAAAAGCAATATAACACTATGAAGGAGTTGTAACAGTGCGTTTATAAGTATGCTCATTCCGACTAGAGGATGTAGAGGGCAAATGCATAATATTGTGTTCAGCAAAAAATATCCACTTGATGCATCAGGTCAGTGTTGTGAGAAAGGACACCTGCCTTGTAAACTCCTGTGGGCCTGATTTGAACACAATAGGCAAAGGTTTTGCTCAAGCTGAATCTGCAATTGGGCGACTGTTACCATCATAACTCCATCTGATCATCCACAAAATGACTCAAATATCAAAACATGATCAATACTAAAGCAGCACCGAAAGTAACAACCCAGTCATTACTGGAAACTGAAAAATGTCCTGTTCATCTTCAAAAGACAATTCTAATACAATGTAGCTTCTTTACATTCTAATAGAATGTAAAGAAGCTACATTGTATATTGTATTCTATACACTGTAGGTTCTGTACATTCTATTAGAATGTAAAGAAGCTACATTGTAATACAATGTAGCTTCTTTACATTCTAATAGAATGTAGAGAAGCTACAGTGTATAGAATGATTCTATTTAAGTTATTCCTTTTTTAACTGTTTTAGACGAGTCACTAATCACTTTAAAAGGGTGATTATAGCTGATTTAACTTACAGACATGAGATTGATCTTCTCATGTCACTCTCTTTATACAATGATATAAATTCATCCCCGTTTTGTTGATATCTTACGAAAAGTTGCTCCTCATTTTTCGTGTGTTTTTCCTGCAAAAGTCCAGCAACATGAGTCTGTTTTCGCTTGTTACATGCATACTGTCTTTTCAAAATAAACTTCCATCTTCACAGGAAACAACTAAGGTTTAGGCGATGAAACTACTTAGTTAGGTTGAGGAAAAGATCGTGGTTTGCGTTAAAATATCTACGGAAGTGGCGTTGCTTAAGTACGGAAGTCACGTCACAAATAAATCAACATTGGCTTCTCGTTTCACACACGGCACAAACTGCGGCCTCCTGGAGGAAACACCAGTGTTTGTTTGACCCATCCACCTCTCCTCATCCCACCCGTCCTGTGGGGAATTCTGCTCGTGTTGTCGCTTGCTAGCTATAGCATATAGCATCCTGGGCATCTAAACACCGCGGCTTTGAGAGCACTTGTTTTGCGCATTAACGTGATTAACCAATGATTTAACTTGCAAGCTAGGACCACTGATTCACCAAACCTGCTTGCTTGCAGTCTCTGTTCCACCACAGTCCCCGACGCTGGTCTCATGATTCATTTTGTTTCTAAAGATAGATTTGATTTTGTAGCGAGTAACTCAAAGAACTGCCAAATCTGGTTTCCTCTATAGCTGATAAATGCTGACATTAAAAGCAGAAAGACACACCTTAGTTTGTGTCAGATTTCCTAATCGTGATTAAGTTACTTCTGACTTTCAATATTCAATGTATTATCCAATAAACAATTTCAATTAAATGACTGGATCAGTCAAATTTAAACACTAAATTATGTCTAACGCATGTCTATAGCATAATTGTAATACTTAGTTGTGACGAAGCTGTATGAACTGAGATCATAATATTCCTGTAGGGAGCAGATAAGGTTTTTGTGTTTCTCCAACACCACAGAGATTTCTGCCTTTAAAATCTCTCCACCTGTACATGAATGACTCACCCTCTCAATAGCTTATAATCACAATATGGGACATTAATGCAGCACAGAGGTAATTTAGCTTAAATTTGATCTCACTTCACAATTAGGAAGCAGCTCAGCAGCAGCTTTCCACGTCATACCATATCGTCCTGTCTCACCTGGATGCCGAAGCCCGGCCCGGGAATAAAGCTCTTCACTCCGAGCTGGACCGACAGGTTTCTGGGCTGACTCCAGCTGAGGCCGTCGTCCCAGCTCTCCACCATCATGGTGCTGGACGGGTTGCATTTACGGTGGTAGAAGCAGATGTCGTAGACCAGAATCACAGAGCCCACTTCCTCGTCCACCACCACGGAGCCCAGGTTCAGGCCATCCGGCTTCTCTCCATCATCGACTATGAAGGAGGTCGGGTACCAGGTGGCTCCTGGAGGGACGGAGGAGGAACAGGAGAGGATTCAGACATAAATCAAGACTACTTTTACACCAAATTGTATATGTTTGCTACTTATTCTAAAAGAAAAATACATTCCTTTAAGTATTTTGGTTATTCAACTTTCCTATAAAACATCTGTTTCTTTCAAGTTTTCATCCTCAAATTTGGTTTTAGTCTCTTTATATTCTTGCTCTCTTGCACCCTTTGCAGTAAGGTAGTGCTTCAAGACATTTATTTGACCGCAATCAATGCATATATATACAAAGTGTGTATCCTCAAGCAGTTGTCACGATCTTGGTTCCGGTGAAGTTTGTTTCCTGTTTTATTTTGAAGTTCCTTGCCTCTTGTGTCCCGTGTCTACTTCACTTCCTGCCTTTATATGTTTTCCCTCCACTGTAATTGGCTGCCCCGCCCCTGATTGATTCCACCTGTGTCTAATCACCTACACCTCCCAGTGTATTTAAACCCTGTGTCCCCTCGTCTCTGCTCATCTGCTGTGTTCCTGTTAAGCGTCCTTGTGCACATGTCCGTTTACCTGGTCCTGCTTCCTGTTGTTTTGCCTGTTGGATTTTCAGTTACTCAGTTTTGTTTTTTGTCTTGATGCTTTTATGTTTTTGTGTGTATTTATACTTTCCACTTTAACCTTATTTTGTGTAATCAGATCTGTGTTGCAATGAGTAGGGCTGGATACTAAACATATTTACTGCCCGAAATGTGTCGGTAAGACAGAGAAACAAATGTCAAGTACCGGCGGCTGGCATCCAATTTGTGCACAGTGACATATTCTATTTTTACGTGACATTTTCTGATTTTAAATCTAAGTTTCAACAATTTTCGACTGCATTTTATCTAGGTTATGATCTCCTGCGACTGATTCTAACAGTTAACATTCAAGTACTTCAGTTAAATGAAATGAATGCCAACTAATTTGTAGAGTTTTGGTTAATAATCCTCAAAGTAAAGTTTTGAATAAAATGCGTGTTTTTATATCGGCACTGAAAGTAACGTATCACATTGGCTACAGTTTTGAAAAATTGGGTATCAAATGATTACCAGCTCTAATTTTAGTAATGCAGACATTTTGTAGTGTAACTTCTTCCTCTGCAGTCTTTTAAGGAAGCTTCACAATTCCTGTATTTTAGCTCCTGGAAGTTTACATTGAGCTTGAAGGCTTTTTTTGTCCTGTTTGACACACAGAAAGGGTAAGTGATTAGTTATTTTGTGCTTTTCTCTCCCTTTGTGACCGTTATGTATTCCCTGTAGACTTATAACCACTGTTGGTGTACGTTTATATATTTATATTTCGGACTATTTCTGATGCTATGACTGTCATTGTTGTCCTTGCCTTTGTCCATGGACCGCCGCATTGCGATGAACTTGGCTCCCATGTCGCCTGATGATGACTTCCTGGCCTCTGTGAAAGCCAGCAGGCTTCCCTTTGGGGTGAAGGTGAGCAGGGGGATCCTGTAGGTGTCCACCTCCCCCATGACTCCGCTCACCCACAACAGCTGCTCGTCATACAGCAGAGGTTCAATCTGGACGGCAAAGAAAGGCGAGACAAGAAAAGGAAGAGAGGCTGAGTTAGGTGAAAGAGTTAAAATATCTGTGTAACACAGTCAGGTGACACCAGCAGGTGATCACACTTGAAATTCAGGAAGAGTTCCTTTTGTTCATTTATTTCAAACTGCAAGGTTGCAAGAGCTCCTCCCTCCCATTACTGTGAACAGTATAGGCTTCCACTTTGTGGTACTCTACTTGAGTATTTTCATTTTAACCTACTTTACTCCACTATACCTAAAATATTGTACTTTGTATTCCACTACATTTATTTGACTGCTACAGATCAACGTTTCACAAACAAAACGAAATCGGTGTATAAAATGCAACGCTTTCATCTCCATTCATCCATTTCTGAAAATGAGTCTTGAATCCACAAGTGAATTGTGCATAACATAACTACTCAAAAAAATATATTGTAAAGTATAAATCATGCTGTTGTAATAACTACCCAAAGGTATATAAAGCATTTAAATCGGCTAGATTATAACATTAAAGTACTGGTTACATGTTATGCATCAATAATAATAGTGCCGTAAAGTAGTTGTATAACACTGACTGATACAACGCAGACTTTTATTTTGAAAATATTGTGCTGAGTTGCCTGTTTTAACTTAAATTTTAAAAGCATATATTTTATTTGTAACTCGGGATTTCATGGTGTGGTCACTACTATCACTACTTTTAAATTTGAATACTTATTCCTCCACTCACTATAATGAATGCATGCCTAGGCTGGACAAATCACTGAAATCAATGCTGAATCAACACTTTTGACAGCTTCTACAACTCGTGTTCCAACAACACGGAAACTAGATTGTGTTGTTACGTATTTCTATGATACTTTGTTTACTGTACCTGTTCAGGGCTGATACAAACACAGGAAGACATCAGGAAGAGCAGTAACGACAGTGCAGCAAGTCGGCTTCCTGTCTCCATGACTGATTCGCGTCCTGAGAACTTCTTCTTTATGCCGACTGAGAAATATCAGTTGTTG